TGTAATCTTTGGCATTTTAAAAGCATGAGAGCATAATTGCATAAATAAAGATGACCTTAAATCGAAAAAAAAAGGAAGAATAAAAAACTCCAGCACCACAATGCTCACGGGCTCCTAAGCACCAGGCAAATTATAAGCTCGCATTTCCTACGGCTCAAGAATGGGAAGTGCGTGGGGGAATCTTCTTTTCTTCAAGTACCATTTCTAGAGCCTCCTTACCATTCACATCACACGCTATGCTCTACCCAATTCCCACTTGTTTTCCCCCAACATCCCAGTATCCCCCAGCCTACAGACCCTAGTGTCGAGCCTTCAAACTGCACCTACTCTTGCTCCTCCAAGATAAAGTTGGCTCGGATTATTTTGTTCCAGCTATTGTTATTCTATCTAATGCTTCAGTTTCAACCACTCAACACAGGGTTCCCAAGTTCAAGGTAATGCTTCCAACCTCTTGCTACATCGCACAGCAAACCTGACTGACCAATGAGAAAGAAATGAGGAGACAGCAACACCGCATACTGGAATCTGATGCCACAAGTCATCCCGTCACTTCAGGCTTCTGGGTGACAGCTAATAAAGATTTTGTCCCAACTAATCACTCCCTCTTTATCTTGCCAGAGTTTCTCATCCTCTTGTGCACTTTCACTTACAACCTGTGTTTCCTGTCTCACGAGGGCCTTCATTTCCACAGTCTCACTGAAGTTATGACCCGCTTTCATCGCAAAGGTTCTCCGTCTTTCTATCTTTAAGTAAAATGTTGGGTCACATGGCAGATGCTCAGTAAATAATTACTGAAGAGCTAAGGCTCCAGTTCTGCATCTCCAACCCTATGCTGGACGTCGTATGGTGCCATCCTTTTTGCTACTTCAAAATTCACAAGCATGGAACAGAAATCACCGGCTTCCTGCCAGGTCTGCCTCGTCTGCATTACATCCTTATTTCCTCCAGCTGTGCTGTACGTATATCACTTCTCCTCCTGTAACTAATTACTAAGTCAGGCGATGTCTTCTTTTCTTTAAGTCACCCAGAGATATGCAAGGCAACCTGTTAATACAAGGCCCATTTTAACTGCAGAGTTATGACTGTCCTACCAAAAGAGCCTCTGCAGATCAAACGGACTTAAATATTGTAACTCCCCAGTACATTCGTTCATCCAGTATGGAGTTCTCTCCCCTATACATAGCTGTGGTTGTTAAGTACCATTATAAAGAAATGCTCAAGGGCTATTTTAAATGCTTACATCTTTCCATAGCATTCAAAGGCCACCACGATCCGGTCCCACTCCAGTTTTCCAAAATTATCATTTATTATTTCTTTAGAGAAAAGCTTCATCTCACCCCAATGATTTTATTCCACATTCACAGAAGGTGTATGTGTATGTGTGCACGTCTGTTTAAACATGCAGGCAGGCCCTTGGCTATATGTCAGGGTATACCTTAGCTAAGAGGTAAGCTATAAGACATTTGGAAATGTCTATCCTAAGTCCTAACAATACTGTAGGGTCAATTGACCTTCAATTGAGCCTTCAACTCTTCTATTCATAACCCCTTTTTATACGTAGAGAGGTAAAATTACAGAATTCGTATTGCTTGATAGTTCTTTAAGGGTAGGTCATGTGTTTCTATATTGGTGCTTCCTAGAGGCCACTACTAAGTTCACCAGTGACAGGTAATGCTTTTTACTCCCTAGTTAAGAGTTCTCCAAGTAGTCATTAATACTAAAATTTCATTTCCATTGGTATCTCAAGCAGCCACTGTTAAGCTGCAGTATCCCTTTCACATGTAAAGGTATATAAGAGCTGATTTTAGAGTTCTATAAGTAAGCAAATTTGTTTTGCTAGTGAGAGACATAGCACAAAGCATAACATAGTAACTCATGCTCAGTTGAACATCTAACTTTTTTCCTCTCCCCTAAACATTATGAAAGGCTGAAAATGGCTTTTGCATATTTGTTTAAAAACACTACTGCAAGACTATACTTTCAAGGATCATTTCCATAGTTCGTTAAAAACACTAATGCAAGCTTTAAGGGAAATATCTTATACTTTCAAATGTCATTTTTTAACTGACAACTTTAAAGACAAAAACAGGTTTTAAATCACGGAAGAGTAAATATTTGGGTGGAAAGAAACAGGTTTATTGGGTTTTTTTTTAAGGTTGTACTTTAAATGTGGTTCAAGAGTACAGTTCCTGGAATGGAAAATTTCTTTAGTTACAAAACCTAAAAAAGTGCACAAGTCAAATACGAAAAGTCATATCATAGGCATTGGGTGTAATAGAACAAAACTGTTTATTACTACAGTACTGAGAAATAACAATCTAAATTTTGAGGAACTAATTTCATAAAGGATGAGTTTGAATTGGACCAAATCCTGAGTTTTCTTCCTTCACTCCAAGTTTCTTTTCTATTTTAAACCAGTGGCAACAGAAATGTCTTTGTTTGAAAAGTTTGCAATGCTGAATCTTAAGTGACAGAGCAGGTAGCTTGGCTTCTGCTCCTCGTCACTCCTCAGAGGGAGAAAAACATCGTGGAGAAAGTAATTTTGCGTTTAATTTCTGGAAAACTCATTTTTCCCATCAATCTTCATAACTCTCCAACATAAACAGTTAAAAACGTACAGGCTGGTCAGTCACTTCACCCTGATTTCGGGAAATATTCCACACTAATTTAAAGAACACATGGAAAAATCAAGTCTTCTGACTACTTAAACAACCTAAAAGTTGCTTGTTCCTAACTCTATCAAAATTCTAGGAGACTATTATGATCCCAGGATATATTTCCACATCATATTTTTGTAAAAGAAAACAAAAATACTCTAGGCTAAAGGGTCATGCTGAATGCTGTGAAATTTTTTAGGTCACTGTATAATTTCAAGTATGGAAAAAGTTTTGTTGTTTTTTATGTTACAGCAAGTACTTCAGAACCACATCTAGAAAGAAAAATGAAAATAATTGAAGAATCCGCTGTTTCATTTAGATGGAGAAAGTAGCAAATCAACAATCATTGTGTCTTGGCTAGAAATGGGATGCCTGCCCTATGCAACCACAGTTTGACAAAATAACAGCAACTTTGAGTAGGCATACCATGCGAGGCAAAGTTGATCATTTCAAATATGTGATTCCCATTTTAACCCACCTTAAGTAAGAACTGAAAACCCAAGAAAAAGCCAGCTTAGATAATTAAACAAAGCAAGGAGCAATACAAAAATGCTGAACAGCAAGCAGTTCGCAAACCATCTAAATCAAATAAAGTCAAGACAAATTAAATAAAGACCAGAAACCACATAAATCAAATAAAGTCAAGACAAATGAAATAAAGACCAGAAACCATTTTCTCCTGAGCACACAGAGTCCCCCAGAATCATAGAGTTGATGAATGAGAGGCACCAGTAAGGATGCGCGCTGGCAGACGCCTGCACACAATGGATAGAGAAGCATGGAGTCCCTGAGCGACAAACATTACGGATGTAAAGCTCTACTTTCTCCACATCATAGCAAGAAGAGCATGCAGGGGAAAGTTCACACTGTGTTCCAGACCAAACAGAGAAAAACCGTAGCTCCTATTGCAAATGTCTGCTTCTCCAGAAACAAGCAAAGGTAGAACTGAATGAATGGGTGTGGGGCAGAGTAGTTAGGGGAAAGAGAGCTAGGGAAGGAGAACCATGAGAAAAAAGTTGGGGGCCCTGGGAAAAGCTTAAATGGATTAATACCATAAAAGGCCCTACTATTTCCTATTTCACATTTCTTTCCCTCCCCTTCTGTAATTTTATTAAATATAGGCAAACTTCCTGAGTCTCGACCGAGACCTGGTCTAAATTCAGGGTAGCTGTATGTCCTACACAAATGGCCTCTTTGAGGAGAAAGGATTTTTTTTTAATCACCTTTGTGATCATGGATAAAACGAGACCAATTTCCAAGGCAAAAGCTGAATCGCATGCAGCAGGCAGTAAAATGAATCTCCAGTTCCCAAAGTTTTGATTCCTACTAGAAGCATAAGCTATGCAAAAGTTCCAGACATTTTCTAACTTGAAAAAAAAGTTTGTTTGTTTGGCTTAGCATATTTAGAAGATCACAAGGAATCCGTTTCAGTGTTTTTAGCCTCTGACCTATTATTCATGAAGGGGTTGTTTAGGCTACCAGGTGGCGGGGGTCAAATGTAAATGGTTTAAAATATTATAGTGGTTTGAAAAATAAACAAGATGTGTAGAAAGTTTGTTGACAAGGCTTTTGTCTAATAAAATTATAATATAATGGGGGAAACTGCACAGACTTCGAATACGAAGTTGGGTCCCACTCAGTAGCAGTCCTTTGCACTGGACAAAAGCTTCAACACATGTGCTCAGCACTTTCTCAGAGACAGGGAGATGGGCCTGGGAAGTCATCACCTAGGTACTCAGAATAGGCTCCTGCGTTCCTCTCAGCACTATCCCCTGGGCCAGGTGGGGGAGCGAGATACAAGTTTGCCTTTAAGTGGCCCAAGAGAGGAAAAAAGTCTTTTAGCTCTTCTCTCTCTGCACACAGGAAGAACCCGATTCAATGCCACCACCACTCCTGGTCTTGCTCCGCCCCAACTTCTGTGTGTGTGTGTCGTGCGGGGGGCAACGCTCGGGTGTTTTAGCCCACGCATCCCAAGATGCCTCCGTCTCATCTAGGTTAAGTTCTGGGCCGCCCCCCCCCCCCCACCCTCAGTCCCCAACCATGCTACAATCAAAGTGCCAACAAGCACAGGTGCCTAATCTTCTGGCTTGTTTTTAATCGTGCCCCCCTCCCCACAACCCCAGTCCCCATTTACGGTCGCGCCCCAGTCGTCCCAATCTCTCCCGTGCAAAGCACCTTCTAGCCCGGACGCCAGGAAACACCTCGGACTTTACTTCGGGGTCACCTGGAGAGGGATCCGGCCCTGCCTTCAGGTTTACCCGGTGGCTTCCCCTGGTCCCTGGTGCCCAGAGCGGGGCTCCGGAGCCGTCACGTGGATGGCAGAGGAGGCCTGGGCTTTCTCACCTGCATCCCGGGCACTTGGACAGCCACCGGTGAGTGGGCCATGGAGGCGAGTGCTACTTTGCGCTGCTTCTGCGGTGGTGGCGCCTTGGGCTCAGACTGGCTCCTCCTACGGGGGTAGCTCGGCTGCTCTCCCAGGCTTCTCGATCGGGGCCTGGAAGAACGCAGAGAAGTGGAGTTAGTGGGTTGGTGGCTTGCAGCCTCCACTCTCCCACCGCCCCCCACCCTTCCTGGGAGGTGAGCGGTTCGCGGCACTGCTCCCCGGGACTCAGTTTACCTCTTAGATGCCCGCCTGCCGAGGTCGTGGCCAACTGCGGTGCTGCTCCTCTTCCTGAATGCAGGGCTGTACGTGAGGCAGTGGCTGGGACCTGGGCTCCAGTGATGCCGCTCGGCTGCGCCTCGCCGCTTTAGGAAGAGGAGGTGGAGGCGCCCCAGCAACCCGCCCGATCGCTTAGCCTGGGAGGCGGTTGGGGGCGGTTCCCCAGTTGGCCCTGCCTCCACCCCGCTGCCGGGCGGTGTCGGGGGAGAGGAGGCTTCAGGCTGCAAAGGGGTTTGGCTAAAGTAGCTAGAGTCAGAGAAGCAGGAGGCTCTCCGAATTTGGGGGGAGCAACAGAAGCCCTGAATCGAGAAACCTGGAATACGACTGGGCCTGGAGAAAGAACAGAAGAGTTTGAGAGAGAGGGAGTGGGGTGGGGGATACGAGGGCGACCCGGATGAACGCGGCCACGTTGCAGAGCTGGGGTGCGTGTAGCCTCCCAGAGGTCTGGAGTTGCAAAAGTTTTGCTTGGCTCCCCCACCTGGACGAGGGTGGGGCCGCCAAGCCAGACACCTGCTCCTTCTTGCCATAGGTTCCTTCCCTCTCGCTCTCCAGTTTTCTTACCCCTAGACAAGCCTCAAGTCACTTTAACCTGAGCCTGCCCCTCCCTTAGGCTATCAGTTGAGGAATGACCTGGCTGAAACTTCTCACAATTTCTGCATGTGTAAAAGAGAGGCGATTGGAAAACGGATCACCTATTGGCAGGAAAATTAATGAGGATAACAGAGGCTAGGGGCATGAGATTAGATCTTTGGCAGTACAGACAGTTGAATTCAGCACACACAGCAGTGACTTCTGCAGCTCTTGCCTCTTTTCCAACTTAAGCTCAACTCCAGCAGCAAGGCAAGCCCCTTTTCGGGAACCCCAAATCAACAGTGACTGCTAATAGTAGCCCTCACAGCAATCCAGGGAAGCTCTTTTGTGTACATAGGAGGGGCTAACAGTCAAGTGCCAGACTAAAATGAGGACACACCTTCCAGTTTGTTACGAGGTTGTGTATCCAACACACTGGGCAGAAGCTCTAAGTAGACGCCCCACAAGTGCTAACCTTCGTTTATAACTTTTCTCTAAGGAAAGTAGCTGCTTACTACTAACACAGCTATTACTAATGAGTTCATTCGGTTTGGGCCAGAGACCACTAAAGTTCAGGCTTGGAGTTTTGGAATGAGTTACTGTGCCAAGAGCTCACCTGGGTCACATTGTTTTCTTCCCCATTGAACAAATAGAGCAAAAGGCTCAGCCAAGTAAATATTTGGCTCCGATAATGCAATTAAAAAGTGATGCATCAGAGAATTCCAGTCGCGGTCCCCCCTGACTACTTACTACCTTCTGTGTGGTTTCTGTTTACTTGGAAGATTGTTAAACAATAGCATTGCCGCTTCCTCACTCACAGTTCTCCGAGTCTAAGTGTTCTTTATTTCTACCCAATGGTAGGCCCCTAATCTAGTGTCTATTTCTCACTAGTCTTACACACACTTTCTAATAGCCTACCCAGCAGCATGCAATGCCACCTAAACTTTAACGTCCATAGAGATCTCAAAGGAGTTTCCTTCTTGGTTTACTTTTTGTCTTTTTTTTTTTTTTTGCGACAAGGTCCCACTGTGTAGTCCTGGCGGTCCTGGAACTCCCTATGTAGGCCAGACTGACCTCAAACTCACAGAGAACCACCTGTCTCTGCCTCCTGAAAGTCGGGATTAAAGGTGTGCATTGCTATTTTAAAGTAAAGGTTTCGAATCTGCAAGTTTAGAGTTAGCCCAAGAATTTGCACTGTTGGCAAGATCTGAGACTGTGAGATGGCACAGGTGAGATTCTTAGATCAGGTTTCGAGTTAGTCATGTGACTCCAGCTCCATCACTAAAGACCCACCTCAAGTAAGTCCACTGAACTTTTTTAGACCCGCCTTCCAATCTTCATGACTGCTCTGTGCGAACATTCAAACTCCTACTGTGTGTGCATGGAAGCAATGCTAACATTGTTGCTGTTTCGTCGTATGTCAGGCATTGAAGGCCTTTTATTTGCCCACCAACCCTAGAGATCCAATTTCTCGTCTATGAAAATTATCCAAGAAGAATGATGCCTCTTTGTTGTTGTTTACTGCTGTATTCCCAGAGCCTAGAATGCTCTATGGCACAGAGTAGGTCCTCACTAATATTTGTTGATTGGGGGAATGCACTCCTTAGAATGCTTTGCTGGTGTTGTTAGGCACATTCTGGGGACACTATATTTTATTATATTGTTGTCAGGGTAAACTCGTAGGCACTGCTCTTGGTTAAATTTGAAGTTGGTCACTTTTTTATATGTTGTACCATTCAATTTTGGCCTACTGTGTTCTCTCTCATTCCTTAAATTTCATAACTACCTAAGAGAATATCATGTGATTCTAGTAAACAAGTGAACTCTAAACGTATCAGAGAAATGACATCATGCTAGCCTAGAATGATGTAGTAATACGGGACAATTAACACTAAACTTTGAGATCTAGACTACGGAGACAGTTTCTGAATGACACTGATGAGTGTTTTTACTTTAGGTGTGCGGAGCTTGATGAAGAAGCCATTCGTTATGGCTGTTATTGATAAAGAACATTTGGGAATTTCCTTAGAGTTTCTTATGGTGCTATTTATGTTTTTTCTTATATTACATGTGTGCTATATGTGAACATGTGCATAAAACATTTTGAAGGTATGTTTGAAAATAATCCAATTATCATGAGTACGAGGACACCTCCCTCACACACATAACACTATTTCTCATGATTTTAAAGTAAAATGGCAAATTAAAATTTGCTTTCAATATCACACATCTACATGCACACACACACACACACACACACACACAATGTTTGACTTTTATTTCAAGATGTCTGTCCAGAATCTAATAATACAGGTTGAACGTCTCTCATCAGAGTGCTTGCAAGGAGTGTCTCAGATCCAGTTTTTCAAATATGGGGCTGTTTACACAAGCATCAGATTGATATTCAAAATTTCAGAGCATTTTGGATTTCAGATTAGGGCCCCTCAGCAGCCTGTATGTTACAATGTATTACCACAGTTCAATGGAAAATGTTCCATGTGAGGACAGACAAAAGATGTGATGATTTTTGGTAGCCTCATAGGTTATAACAGAGCACCTTAGACAGAAATTAGTGCTTGCTTGATACATATGACCTTATTTCTATGCTAAATGAAGATTATGTGACGAATTAGTGAAGCAAATAAATTTCATGTCAGTATCCATGATCCCTCCAAAATTAAAAATAAAATAATTGAACATCTATCTGCCCCAGAGAGATGGATTAGCAACTAAAGATACTTGCCAACAAGGCTGAGGACATTAGTTCAACCCCTAGGACCTATATGGTGAAAAGAGAAACCAACTTGAGAAAGTTGGCGTCTGATCTCCACTTGCATGGCATGGCAAGGGCAGGCCTACACATATGCATGCGCACAAAGACGCACAAATAAATAACTAAATAAAATGTAACATCTAGGGATTGAATTTGCTGATATTTATCATACTTTCAATATTAAATATTTAACTTTATTCATGTTTATAAATATTTAGGTGATGGACTGATTCATAGCAAATATATAGGTTCTCAACTAGGGTCAATTTTTACCTCTGACAGAAAATATTTGGGTATAATAAATAATGAGGAAATTCTACCACTTTCTAGTTGGTAGAGGCAAGGGGTGGATAACAAAGAATTATCTCCTTTGAAATGTCGGTGGTACCAAAACTTAAGAAACCACGTCCTACAGTCTTTATTAGAGGCACTACTAATCAAGTGAGACACTTGGGAATCCGTGTTCTTTGGGTATTTTGGCCCAGTGTGCTGTCTGTAATAAAAAAAATCATATGAAACCATGTCAAGTGAGCCCTATAAACAAAACAATGCTATTTATGTCATCATTGTACCACAAAACACCTTTCCCCAAAATGTGAACATAATGGCAAGAAATACAATGTTTGCTACCCACTCTCCCTCACACACAAAACTTGCATATTTTACTTCAAAATAATGTCAAACAGAAAAGGTTAAAGAAAATATTGGTTTGCTTTAAACATAGTCATTGAGCATATTTTAATATGTCAGGCATTATCTAACAGCTTTAAAACACAATAATTTATCAAGACAAATGTGAGCCTTTAGTCCACAAAATTTTTAAAAAGGGCCTCACATTATGAATATTCATATTTTAAGCCTAATGTATATGTTGAACTATTTAAAATGTGCAAAGTGTAATGACAGACGATACAATTGTCTGGATTTTATTCAATGATTGAAATATATTCAACCTAAGGAAATTACTTGGGTTATTTTTGAAGTTTACAATCAGTGTGATATGAATATTTGGATTCATGCTATAAGCTACTGAGTTGATATTTTGAAGTAAAGTATTCAAGGATCTTTCTGTTTTTGTTGTTGTGATTGTTTGAGTGTTTTGGAGACATTGTCTCACTGTGTAGTCTTGGGTAGCATGGAACTCACTGTGTAGATCAGGCCAGCCTCAAACTCACAGAGATCTGCCTGTCTCTGCCTCCCAAGTGCTAAAATTAAAAGCATGCAACACCATATCCAGCAGGCTTTTTTTTTTTTTTGTAAAAGCATGTTTGATATCTCCAATCTTCTCTCTGCTCTCTGTGGGTAGCAGATTGGAAAGCATGTTATAATAGCTCTAACCTTTGTTCTTACAAGTGTCCTGAGCAAAACCCTAAGGAATCCATTCTGAGTCAGAGAATGTTAAGTCTGTGTAATTGCTGAATTCTCCAGAATAGCCTTTGACCTTTGGGGGCTTGCACAGTAGTCTGCCACGGTATCATTCGTAACAGAAAAGCAAAGTATGCAAGACTCTGCACAGCAGAATATTGTCAGCAGCGTTACTTCCTGATGCTACCGAGGGGACTAAAGCAACAGACTAGGTGGGTGGAAGCAGATGTTGTTTAAGCAGCTTCCGGCTTGTAGCATTCTTTACGTGCGTGCTGAAGCCCTTTGAAATGCTTTCACTTGGGCACCAAACGTAAAGAGCTCACTGCTTGCATCAGTTGGTTCCAGAGCTGAGAGAGGGCAATGCAGTCTGGACCATTGCACACACGTGTGTATTTCTGAATCCAAAGGTAGAATAGCTTCTTCCCTGGTTCCCGTTTGGCTACCTTCTCCCTCCTCGGTGGCAAAATCATGCTGGAGAGTTGCAGATACCTGGACAGGAGCACTCACAGCTCTCCTGGTGCCAAAAAGAAACACTGGTTGCTGCACAGGTCACCTCGTAATGGCAGTGTTGCCTTGATAGGGGTAGAGGAGAGATTTCTGTGAAGAATGTTGAAGGGCATTTCCTGGGAGGACTGATTTGGGAAGCTGGGCTCTTTGTCATTAGCTCGGGTAGCTTCTCTGCTCCTTGGAGTGCAGACTTTAGGTACAGGAGAGCCTTTTCATGTGTCACCGT